CTCCAGCCTGGTGACAAAGCGAGTCTCTGTCTCAAGAAAAAAAAAAAAAGAAATGAGGAAAGAGGCTCTTGAGCAAAATTACTCATCCTAGACCACTGAGCTAGTAAGTAGGGAAGCCAGGTTTCCAGCCCAACACCCCCCGCCCCTATCCCTTCTTGAGCCCTCATGCCCCAGCCCAGGTCCAGACACCCTCTCCCCATCTCAGGCCTTCAATGTGATCAACGGGGGCTCCCATGCTGGAAACAAGCTGGCCATGCAGGAGTTCATGATTCTGCCTGTGGGAGCCAGCTCCTTCAAGGAAGCCATGCGCATTGGTGCTGAGGTCTACCACCACCTTAAGGGGGTCATCAAGGCCAAATATGGGAAGGATGCCACCAATGTGGGTGATGAAGGTGGCTTCGCACCCAACATCCTGGAGAACAATGAGGGTCAGTGCTGAGCACCCTGGGGGGCAGACCCCCTGGATTTCCACATGGGCAGGGGAGGCTGTAGACAAGGGGTGCTGGAGTCTCAGGTCCTTTCTTGGTCCTCCCCCAGCCCTGGAGCTGCTGAAGACAGCCATCCAGGCAGCTGGTTACCCAGACAAGGTGGTGATCGGCATGGATGTGGCAGCATCTGAGTTCTATCGCAATGGGAAGTACGATCTTGACTTCAAGTCGCCCGATGATCCCGCACGGCACATCACTGGGGAGAAGCTCGGAGAGCTCTATAAGAGCTTTATCAAGAACTATCCTGGTGAGGCGCTCAGGTGTCCCAGTGTTCCTGCCCGAATCCCCTGCAGCTGCCTAATATCCTGATTTCAGTGACCTGCTTTACCATGGGCTTGGATCCTTCCAATCCTTAGCCCCATTGAAATCCCCATTTAAGCTCTTCTGCCCTGTCACCCCTCCATGAGGCACCTTCTGACCTCTAGCCCTGTCTCTGCTCCCAAACCCCACCAGTGGTCTCCATCGAGGACCCCTTTGACCAGGATGACTGGGCCACTTGGACCTCCTTCCTCTCGGGGGTGAACATCCAGATTGTGGGGGATGACCTGACAGTCACCAACCCCAAGAGGATTGCCCAGGCCGTTGAGAAGAAGGCCTGCAACTGTCTGCTGCTAAAGGTCAACCAGATTGGCTCGGTGACCGAATCAATCCAGGCGTGAGTGTCTCCTGACCCTGAGGCTCACCATCGCCTCCCTCTGCCCCAGCTCTGCCCACTCCAGCTACAGTCTCACCCACTAACTCCAAGCTTACCTTTCCCCTGGCACCTGACCTACCCACACGTTGATCTCAAGGCTTTGACTAATCTTTGGCCTGACTCCAAGAGCTTTGCCACTGTGGCCCTGTCATGACCCCCCGCCCGCAGCCCACACCATTCCTCTCTTAGATTCTCCTCTTCTCACCAGCATCTCAAGAGCCCAAAATCAAGATGAGAATTCTTTTCCTCTCCTACTTCCCAAAGAACTTAGTCACTGCCCTCCCTGCAGCGTGCTTGCTACCCAAACAGCAGGGACAGGCCCCACCCAACCCCTGCTTTCCCACTGAGGAGTTTCTAGAAAGCCACATCAAATGTCCTCTCCACTCAGGTGCAAACTGGCTCAGTCTAATGGCTGGGGGGTGATGGTGAGCCACCGCTCTGGGGAGACTGAGGACACATTCATTGCTGACCTTGTGGTGGGGCTCTGCACAGGACAGGTACTTGCAGCTTCTGTCTACTGGGTGTCTCACCAAGTTTTCTTGGGGTCCCTGGCCTCCTGCCTCTGAGGTGAATGTTCCCTTGGGGCCAGGTCCAACCCCTCCTCTCCAACCTCACCCAACCCTCCAAATCCTTCTTCCCTCATCAGATCAAGACTGGCGCCCCCTGCCGCTCAGAGCGTCTGGCCAAATACAACCAACTCATGAGGTACAGCGGGAAGAGCGGGCCTGGGCATTGGGGTGCTGGAGGCTGTTAGGTTGGAAGGCAGCACCCCTGACCTTGCCTGCATTCTAGGATCGAGGAAGCTCTTGGGGACAAGGCAGTCTTTGCTGGACGCAAGTTCCGTAACCCGAAGGCCAAGTGAGAAGCTGGAGGCTCCAGGACTCCACTGGACAGACCCAGGTCTTCCAGACCTGCTTCCTGAAATAAACACTAGTGCCAACCAAGACAGCTGTGTGCTTCTTTGTGGGAGCGAGGGGAGGGGTGTTGGTTTCTGGGCTGCGCTGGGAAAGACAGGAGGTGGAGAGATGGGAGCAGGGAGGGGAGGCAAATAGATGTGTAACCCACTAGGACAAAGAGGAGGTGAGGGACTCAGAGAGGAAGCTGGGTGGATCTAGAACAACAGAGGTGTTCACATTTCCAAAGGAGGTAGGGGAAAGCAGATGGTATATGGTAAAATGAGGCAGAGTTGCCAGTGGAGCCAGGCATGGTGGCGCACGCCTGTAGCCCCGGCTACCTGGGAGGCTGAGTTGAGAGGATCGCTTGAGCCCAGGAGGTCGAGGCTGCAGTACACTCTGTTCGTACCACTGCACTCCAGCCTGGGCTGCAGAGCAAGACCCTGTCTGCAAGCAACAACAACAACAACAAAAACGAAAACAAACAAAAAACTAAATTAATAAAGAGTTTCAGAGGGAATAAGAAACCAGCTCCAGGAGAGGGGAGCAGGGTGGGGCTGAGGGTCCTGCCACCACCATAAGGGGGAAGCTGGCTGTGAAGTAAATGGTCTGCAGAGGACACTAGAGTGAGGCTGCAGTCCCAGTGAGGGCTTTGTGAGGATGAGAGTGATAATGACAGTGGCTGCCTCTCCTACGGAACTTACAGGATCTGAAACTGTTCTAAATATTTGACATGTATCGTCCTGCGCTATTGTTCAAACAGGTCTGTCAGATAGCTGCCATAATTATCCTTATTTTACAGGTGAGGAAACTGAGGCACAAAAGGTTGAATGCCTTACCCAAAGTAACGGTTGGCAGCAGGCAGGATTAGGATCCAAAGCCAAGGTATTTGACTCCAGCGATTATACTCTTGTAT